TCACAGACTGATCCTCTCTCATGTATTCTCCCCAATTTTTCATTCTAATTTTTTAAAAGATTTATTTATTTATTCATGAGAGACACACACACACACAGAGACAGAAAGACAGAGAAGCAGAGACAGGCAGAGGGAGAAACAGGCTCCTCGCAGGGAGGCCAGTGTGGGACTCGATCCCGGATTCCAGGATCACACCCTGAGCTGAAGGCAGATGCTCAACCACTGAGCCACCCAGACGTCCTCATTCTAATTTTTAAAGATTTGTTTGACTTCATCTTTCATCATTTGTTTTGAAATTTTTATTTTGGCTATCATTTGTATTTGCCAATAACTTTTTCTTATTTTCTAATTATTCTTTTTTCACGGCATCCTGTTCTTGTTTTATAGATGCATTATCTTCTGTTTCACGGGGGGAAGTTGTAACTAATTTCTTTTTTTTTTTTTTAACTTTCTGTGTTGTCTCTCTATCTTCAGAGTTCCCTTTTTTCTCTCTGTTTCAGGCTTGGTTTCATCTGTTGAAGACTTGCCTCAAGTGTCTGGAGATTCTCAGATTTCTGTTCACAGTGAAGCATGAGGCATCCAAAGGCTGATGGGAAGCTTCTCTGTATGAGCAGGGCTTGCTTACCTGCTGGGCTTTTTTGAAGGGTGAGGGCATGGCCAGGGGTCAGCATCTGTTGTTCCTTTCTCTGGGGCTATTCGGTTTATCAAAAAATACTCTAGAGGCATGTGGGTGGTTCAGTGGGTTAAGCATCTGACTCTTGATTTTGGCTCAGGTCATGATCTTAGGGTTTTGAGATCAACCAAGCCCTGTGTCAGGCCCTGCACTAGGTGTGGAGCCTGCTTAAGATTCTCTCTCTGCCCCCCACCTCACGTGCATGCTCTCTGAAAGAAAGAAAGAAAGAAAGAAAGAAAGAAAGAAAGAAAGAAAGAAAGAAAATACCCCAGGCTTCTATATGGCCATCAGCCTCCAGAAGCAGCGAAGACAAAGGTGCCTCAGGTAATGGTAAAGGCTGAGTCCCAAGTGTTCAGTGTATATAGAATTTTCCCTAGTCCTCCTCTTTTCAGCTTCTTACTTTACCCTCATTCTCTGCCACACTGGGTGTCCTGGGTCTGCTGAAAGCTCTGTTTGATTTTTCCAGAGAAAACTCACCTATATGTGAGCTTAAATAAAAATTTTAAATAAATAAAAATAAATTTAAATTAATTTAAATTTAAAAATTTAAAATAAATAAAAAAATAAAAGCTTCTACATAATAAAAAAAGAAAGAAGAAAGAAAGAAAGAAAGAAAAGAAAGAAGAAAGAAAGAAAGAAAGAAAGCTCACTAACTGGTCTTTTTTCTTCTGTTCTCACCTCTCCCCCAATCTGTTTTCAACAGAGAGCTGGAGTAATCCTGTTAAGATGTGGGTCAGATCAGGTCACTCTTCTCAAAATTCTCAAATGCCTTTCCATCTCAATAAAGTTAAAAATTAAAGTCTTCATAATTGCCAAGAAGGCCCCCTGCTGTCCATGCTTGCTTCTTGGAACTCTTTTGTCCTATTACTCTCCTATTCTTTCTCCCTCCACTCCTGCCATGCTGGTTTCCATTGTGGTTTTAGAACATACCAGGTAGCCTCCTGCCATAAGCCTTTGCACTTGCTGTTCTGCTTACCTGAACTGCTCTTTTCCTAGATATCTACATGGCTTGTTCTCTCACACCTTTACTTTGAGTCTTTACTCAAATGTTTCTTCTTAGAACAGCTTTCTCTGGCTATCCTAACTCAATTCCCATCCCCTGACATACATGCTTTATCTCCTTTTCTTGCTTTATTTTTCCATCAAGTATGATCCCCATCTGATACACAATGATATATTTTACTTCTCTTTATAGTTGGTTTACTGTCTGGCATTCATTAGGAAGTAAGACCCAAGAAAGCAGGGATTCACTGCTCAACTCAGACAAAGCCTGGCATTTGTGGGGTGTCCCAATCAGATGTGCAGGCCACCAACGTGGGGTGCTCCAAATTGGGTGGAGGCTGGCAGCATGGGGGGGGCGTGAAAGAATTCACTCAAGGCAGAACAAAAGAGATAAAAGTTTACTGAATACGCTACAAGGGAGTGGTGGGCAGGACAGCAAGGGAGAGACTGTCTGCTAGGAGGCAGTGGCGAAGGGCCACAGTTATAGGGTGAAGTGAGGAGGCAGGGAATGTATGGGATTTACCCTTTTCCAGTAATCTTAGGAACTGTGCCTGGTCGTAATTGGTCAGTTAGGGCCTATGGTTATTTCAAGGCGAGTCACTTAATGAGCCTGTTTGCATTTGGCTTGGTGGTCACTGTAGGCCGTTTTGCCTTGTTCTACAGCATTTAATAAATTTATGTTGAAATAAATAGATAAATAAGAATGGATAAATGAAGTCTTCTGTCGTTTTAAAAATTAGTAAAAAAGCAACCCTATAAGATATGTTTATCCCTCTGCTTTTATTATTATTTTTTTTTGTAACTAGTGAGGTTCCTGATGTTTCTGAGAAAGCTTTCATTGTGTGTGTTCCATCATTAAAGGTAGCTCATTAAGAATTCCTTGGTAGACATAAAATGACTTTAGGCTGTTAATTTGGATTTCATGGAAGAAGTAGAATTAGGATTAGAAATTAGCTTGTTAACTTGCAAATGATAAGAACACACAAGCAATCAAAAGAAGAACATTAGTTCTATAATCAGTGATAATACTAATCGCTTTTAATGTTTAAAAGATGCCATTAAGACTAAATGGCAAGAGATTTCCCTATCGAATCCAACCAGCTAACCCTGTTTCGAGGAGTCTTTCTTGGTGTTCAAATTAACAATGAAGTGCTCCATCAGAAACATGCCATAATTATTTTGGTTTAAAATGTGGATGCATTAAAGCTACTCATGATATATACTACTATATTTGTGGGGAAAATGCTTTCTTGAACTATAAATTGTTTTTTAATGCTTTTTAAATGAGAATCTGCATTTTCAGGTGGGTATTTCATAATTATCGTCCCTGTTTATGCAAATTGAACCATTTACTAAGCAAGCACAATGTCTTGCAGCTCCAAATAAGTACTTGATGAGAATAACTTGCCATTAAATCAGCTGAGACTGTCCATCATTAGCACTCACAGTAATGATCAGAAGACTGCCTGCAGCTTTTTATAATGTCTTCTGCCACAAAGTATAGAGAGAAAGTGACCGTGGTGCTAAGGGAAACCAAATGAAGTCATTAACCTGCTTTCAGCTTATTGAGCTTAAAGTTAAATTTAAATTCGTTTTAACAAAATAATTCTATTGAATTTGAACTCAACTCTGATGGACTAGAAGGTAGATGTTCTGTTTCTCCAAAATAAAGGGATAACTCAAAACTCTTGGGATCATTTGGTTGGCTGTGAAGAAATGATGAGACAGTGGTTTGGGTTTAAAAATGGCAACACGGTAGATGATAATATATAATTCTGCTCTCTAAAACTGCCAGGGCTAGAAAAAAAAAAAAAAAAGCAATCTAAAACTATGCCATGTCTCTAAGGTCATTTTATAGAAGAAATGATAAAGACCAGTGCTTGTACTACTAAATTCTCACCATGTAACCTGCCAGATAATGCACCAAGATTTCTTCCTTTTTAAACACTGAATTTGGATGTTCAAATCTGTTTACAATGTCTTTAATTGAGCTTTAGTATTATTTTTTTATTTATTCATGAGAGACACAAAAAGAGGCAGAGACATAGGCAGAGGGAGAAGCAGGCTCTTTGTGGGGAGCCTGATGTGGGATTGGATCCCAGAACCCCGGGATCACTACCTGAGCCAGAGGCAGACACTCAACCACTGAGCCACCCAGGTACCCCTTTTGGGCTTTATTTTATTTTGTTTATTTATTTTTTAAAGATTTTATTTATTTATTCATGAAATACAGAGAGAGAGAGAGGCAGAGACACAGGTAGAGGGAGAAGCAGGCCCCATGCAGGGAGCCCGATGTGGGAATCAATCCCAGGACTCCAGGATCAAGCCCTGGGCCAAAGGCAGGGGCTAAACCGCTGAGCCACCCAGGGATCCCCTGGGCTTTATTTTAAATGCTGCTTCCTCATCTTCTGTCTGCAGTAAAATAGCTATGTTAATTATGGTCATGCATATTAATGAAAGGAGGGGGGCAGGGTTGGCTAATGTTAAATCATAAAGGACTCCTGATGCTCTCCCAATGTCAATCACAATTTAAACAATCTTTGATGGTCCAGCAAGCATGTCAGAATCTTATAAGGGATGTCACTTCAGTTTTCCAATTGCTGTCTGGAGAAATATCTGTAGGTTAGTTTGTGGGGGAGAATAGAGAATAGGAGAGTCCCTCAGAGAATATTCCTTATAGTAACCCTCCCCTAATCAGTGTTTTCTCTTTCCACAGTTCCAGTTACCCATGGTCAGGAAGCAGATAGTCTTCCTTCTGAAGAACCAACAGAAGGTCAGTAGGATCCTAACGCTGCTGTGACATTCCCCTCATTTCATCTCATCACGCAAGTTTTGTCATCGTACATCATCACAAGAAGAGTACAGTACAGTTAGATATTTTGAGAGAGAGACCACATTCATATATTTTTAATGACAATGTATGTCATAAGTATTCTTGTTTACTATTAGTCATTATTGTTAATCTCTTACTGTGCCTATTTATAAATTAAACTCTCATAGGCATGTTTGTATAGGGAAAAAAACACAGTATATATAGGGTTTGGTCTTATCTGTAGTTTCAGGCATCCGTTGGGGGTCTTGGAACATGTTCTCCAGAGACTACTATGCTTAGGTCAAAGATGACATATGATATCATAAAAGTTCTTGAACTCTGTGCAAATCACTGGGCAAATGGACACAAGGGTATGTGGCTTATGACAGTGCTCCTGGTCATCGCTTAGCTCAGGCCAGTTATTTAATGAAAGAAGTAGAGTGGGTCATGAAAAGTATAGGGGTGAGCAGATGTTGGACAAATGCAGAGGAACACAAACCACAAACACTCTACCTGTCTTTCTGGCTCTCAGTGCTTCAAGTATGTGAGCAGCAGCCGTTTCTCCTAGGACATTGTTTCCAAGGTCAATTTCCCTTAAGTGAGCAGAGTATGTGATCAGGCTGGCCAAAGAAAATGACAAATCAAAATGGCATCGTGCCAAGCACGCTTACTCAAAGCAACTCAATCTATTTATTTTGGAGTATGATTTCTCTTTTTAGGTCTTCAACACTCTCCTCGACCGCCCTTTCAAAGATGATGCGCTGACCCAATTTGAAACTACAGCTATCCTGAATCCAGGCTCTTCCAATCTACTTTCTTTAGTTTGGATGCCTCTCCTAAGTAAATTGGTAGGATGAAGACTTTTAGTTGCCTTAAATCTTCCATTTATTTATCTATTCAGAAGATACGGTGTGGTATTGTGCAGGGCTTCCCAGTCTTTTAGATTCTACAAACAGTAAAATGTCAAAAAGCTTTGAGAAGACTGGTTTGACAACTTTTATATGTCAAATAAATAACAGTTCTCACCTAGAAACACTTATAGTCCAACTATTTTTAGACAAAATTAGGAAAGGCATAGTGTCAAAATAAAGGATAGCTTTTAAAATTAAGCTTAGCTTTATGAAAAATGAACACTACACCTGCCTTTTTTTTCTAATTTCTTTGAGGATTATTAAACATTCCTTCATGTCCTAGCACTGTCCTGCCAACTGGTCTTTGAGAATCTCTGGCATCATGAGCAGACATGATCTCTGGGTGAAAGCCTGGGCTCCTGGCCAGCTTCTACCTCCTGTCAACCGTGTAATCATGGGCAGGCCATGTGCCCTCTTGGGTCCTATCTTTCTCGTCTGTAACACTGGCCCCCAAGTTGGCTCTTCTGCCTATTTCATCAGGTTGTGGTAAAAACAGAATGAAGCAGTTTCTGTGAAGGTATCTTGCAAAATGCAGTATCAGAGATGTTATTACGCTGAGTGCACGCTTACTAAATTGCATATATGTCTAACATTACAGGGATCAAAGAAATTTAACACATGGCCTCTGATCTGAAAGAAATTATCACACAACTTTCAATAAAACAATTCTGAGTCCTTCCCATGCACTGGGGATATGAAATTTCAGTTAAGATCTGTAGTAAATACAAGGTCATTTTCCCTGTACACACTTTCTATTGATTCGGCAGCCAGAACTCAAGGGTGGGGCTCAATGGTTCTGCAAGACTCTCCCTGTCAAAGGTCTTGCTCCCAAGGAAATAGCCTATCTAATCAGGACTTGCCTGGTTTTGGCTTCCTGAACTGACTGCCTGTGTCCAATTCCGTCAGATAAGATGGGTGAAAGCAGGGATGCTTCAGGAGGGAGCAGGGATTACAGAAAGAGAAGGGATAGTATTGAAAACAACTTCACAACTTGACAATTCTGCATCTAAGTCTGATACTCAGCCTCACATGAGCTAAGTTTTTTTTTTTTTAAGATTTATTTATTTGACAGAGAGAGCACATATAAACAAGGGGCGGGAGTGGCAGGCAGAGGAAGAGGGTTCCCACTGAGCAGGGAACCTGACACGGGGCTCGATTCCAGGGCCCTGGAATCATGACCTGAGCAGTCAAAGGCAGATGTTTAACTGACTGAGCCACTCAGGCACTCCATGAGTTAAGATTTTATAAAGCATTCACTATGCATCAGATGTGATCAGGGCAATCCATGTCCTCCAAAGGTGTGAGTGGGGCTGAAATCTGCCAAACTCTGCTTGTCAAGTTCTGGGATCTGAAGCATAGACCTAGAAAGGGTAACCTCCTCTGACTCATGGGCCAGAGGTAGTGCCTCTTTTAATTTATCTGCCTGGAGGGGCCCTTTTTCTAATTTGTATTAAGGGGCTAGTTGGAGCCCTATGCACTATATTTAACATGTTACATACATGATCTAATTTAACCCTATAAGAATTTCTTGAGTTAAACACTATTATTATCCCCATTTTTACAAATGAGGAAACTGAGTTATAGAGAAGTTACTATAAAAAAATATATATAGGTTAAAAGTAAAAGGACAGAGGGATGCCTCGGTGATTCATTGGTTGAGCATCTGCCTTTGGCTCAGGGCATGATCCCGAGGTCTGGGGATCGAGTCTCACATCAGGCTCCCTGCAAGAAGCCTGCTTCTCCCTCTGCCTATGTCTCTGCCTCTCTGTCTCTCATGAATAAATAAATGAAATCTTTTTTAAAAAGGCAAAAGGACAGAAACAGATATACTATGCTAATATTAATCCAAAGGAGGCTGAAGTAGCTATATTAATACTCATCAAGGTATATTTCATACAAGGGAATATTACCAGAGATAAAACTATTACTAGGGATTTTATAATGATAATAAGGGTCAATTCTTCAAGTGACTTAATCTTAAATGTTTTTTTTTTTTTCACAACAGATTTTAAAAATATATGAACCAAGGGGCACTGGGTGGCTCAGTTGGTTGAGCATCCAACTCTTGATTTTGGTTCAGGTCATGATCTAGGAGTCCTGGGATTAAACTCCCACATTGGGCTCTGTACTCAGCAGGAAGTCTGTTTGAGATTCTCTCCCTCTCGCTCTGCCCCTGCCCCTGCTCACATGCTCCCCTCCTCCTGCTCTCTTTCTCTCCCACTCTCTCTAAAAAATAAATAAAATAAATCTTTTTAAAAACCACATGAAGCAAAACTGATTAAATTGCAAGAGATACAAAGTCACAATTACCCCTCTCTCAATAATTGATAGAGCAAGTATAGAAAATTTGTAAAGAGGGGATCCCTGGGTGGCGCAGCGGTTTAGCGCCTGCCTTTGGCCCAGGGCGCGATCCTGGAGACCTGGGATCAAATCCCACGTCGGGCTCCTGGTGCATGGAGCCTGCTTCTCCCTCTGCCTGTGTCTCTGCCTCTCTCTCTCTCTCTCTGTGTGTGACTATCATAAATAAATAAAAAATTAAAAAAATTTGTAAAGATATAGAAAACCATAACAATGCTGCCAAACAACTGGACCTAACTGACATTTATTAACATTCCATCCAAAAATAGTTAAATACACATTCTTTACAAGTGCACATGGAACATTCACCAAGATACATGATAATCTGGACCAAAAACAAGTATGTTCTCTAATCACAGCATAATTTCATTAGAAATCAACCAGAAAAAAATATTTGAAAAATGTACAAATATGTAGAAACTAAACACAACTCTTAAATAACCCATATGTCAAATAAATCAAAAGGGAAATTAGAAAATAGTTTGACTTAATGACAATAAAAATATGACATATCAAAATTTGTAAGATGCAATGAAAAAATGCTTAGTGTTAAAATAACTATTTACATTAGAAATACAGAAAGTTTAAAATAAAAAACTTAAGCTTCTATCTTAATAAAGAGAAGAGCACATTAGACTCAGGGGAAATAGAATAAAGTTAAATAATAGAAATAAGAGTATAAGTCATTGAAATTGAAAAAATTAAAATATTAGAGGAAACCAAAAGCAAGTTCTTTGAGATGATCAATAAAATTGATAAAATTCTAATCATGTTGATTGGGGAAAAAAGAAAACAAATTATCAATATTAAGCACAAGAGAGGAGACACCACTACAGATCCTCCAAATAGGAAAATGATGAGAAGGAAACATTATGAATAAATTTAAGACAATAAATTTGAAAACTTAGCCAAAATGAGCCAATTGCTTAAAAGATATAAAGATATAACACTCCCCTCCCACAATAACCAGGATAGCCTTCCATCTATTAACAAAATTAAATTTGTAGTTAAAAAATCTTCCCATAAAGAAAACTCCAAGTCCAGATGTCTTCACTGGTGAATTCTAGCAAATATTTAAAGATAAAATAATGCCCATTCTAATATAAGTTCTTTCATAAAATAGAAAAGGAGGGAACACTTCGTAACTCATTCTGTAAGGCCAAAATCACCTTGATCCCAATAACAAAGGAAAACATTACAAGAAAAGTAGGCAGCAATATCCCTGATGAACACAGATGTGAAAACTCCTAACAAAATGTTAGCAATATACTAAAAAGATAATATATCAGCAATGTATTAAATCTACCAATATACTAAGAGGGAAATAAAATGACGTTTATTAATATAACTATTATAAAAACAGCAGCCGGGGAGCCTGGGTGGCTCAGCAGTGTAGTGCTGCCTTCAGCCTGGGGCCTGATCCTGGAGACCCAGGATTGAGTCCCATGTCGGGCTTCCTGCATGGAGCCTGCTTCTCCCTCTGCCTGTGTCTCTGCCTCTCAATCTCTCTCTCTCTCTCTCTCAAAACAAAACAAAACAAAGCAAAAAAAAACCCCAAAACAAAACAAAACAAAAAAACAGCAGCCAAGGTATCCAAGTTGGAAATTCCCAACTTTCCTAAATAAATAAGTTTATTTAAAAAAGGATATTTTTCTTCTAAAATAAATAGCCATTAATCCAGCCCTCAAGTCTCAAATCTTAGTTCTGTTCTGTTGTCTTTCATTGCCCTAAGGTGCTGTCAGTACTGATGTCTAAGATGGTATAACCTGGAGCCTTCCACTGAGCAAGGTTTCCTACTGCAAATGCTCACTGTGGCTTAGCCCACTGGGTATGGAATTCAGGAGAGCTGGGCAAAGAGATGTCCAAGGTTGCAGCATAAATATGGCAAGGAAATATTCTGTTTTCTAGAAGCTTTTGAGAAAAGCTCTGTTTTTCTGCCTAGGTAGATTGAGACAACTTTGTAATAAAAAAATAGTATTCACTCTTGAGTAGGCTGCCTTTCTTCCTTAGGTCACATGGCTGACTTTAGGGAAGAAAAATCTGGAGCTCATAACTCCTGCCTTTCCTCAGTTGCCAACTTCATTAAATGGGGTTTCTAGTGAGGTCTTTGGAGCTCCTTTGTGGGCTCATATACAACTGCCATGCCATTTTTATGATTTCAGGCCTTCCCTTAAGATCACAGGTGGGTCGCTGCTTCCCTCTCAGAGCTGAAAAACCTCATTTGGCACTGTTTCAATTAAAAGAAATTGCAGGGATCCCTGGGTGGCGCAGCGGTTTGGCGCCTGCCTTTGGCCCAGGGCACGATCCTGGAGACCCAGGATCGAATCCCACGTCAGGCTCCCGGTGCATGGAGCCTGCTTCTCCCTCCGCCTGTGTCTCTGCCTCTCTCTCTCTGTATGACTATCGTAAATAAATAAATAAATAAATAAATAAATAAATATAAAATAAAACTATATTAAAAAAAATAAAAAAATAAAAGAAATTGTAGGGACGCCTGGGTAGCTCAGTGGTTGAGCGTCTGCCTTTGGCTCAGGTTGTGATCTGGGGGTCCTGGGATTGAGTCCCGCATCGGGCTCTGGGCAGAGAGACTGCTTCTCTCTCTGCCTGTGTTTCTGCCTCTCTTTCTGTGTTTCTAAATGAATAAATAAAATCTTTTTTAAAAAACAAAATAAAATAAAATGAATTGTAATTAAATCATTGTCCCTACGATTTAAACCAAGCATCTAGTTTTAGAACGCGAACAAATAAAACCTCTTTTCTACTCACCATATTAAAATCTGAGTGAATTCCAACAAGCCATTTTCTCCTTCTTTTCCTTTTCCATCTATGCCATTATCTGCCAAATACAATTTCACTAACCAAGGACCAGCTTCAGTCAAATCTTTCATCTTTTTCTTGATTCCTATCAGAAAATAATATTTTATTATTTTTAGACTATAGCTCTCCCATTTGCCACCAGCTAAGTTGATCTTATTTTTTTAAAACTGTACTTATTTGACTGGTGTGAGTAGATGCATTTTGCAGTATAATGAAGGAAATACATACAATTTAAGAACTCCTTTAAAAAAATACTTTATTCTTTACCATAGCAAGCCCCAGATTGCTCTGTATGAAAGGAAATCTCACTTAAGATTTAGACTGTTACCTTTACTTTGGCTAAAGAGGAAAATCAATGTCTTTAGAAATTTCCTGGTAGAAGATAAATGAGCTGCCCACTGATCCTGGGGAAGTGATAGTCCTTATCCAGGGATTCAGCTCTTTAAAAGAACCTGCAAAGCTGTCACATTTTTTGAGCCCTAGAAGAGCAAATTTGAAGGAGAAAGAACCATCTTGCCTTTGTGGACTTCCCGACTGAGGTCAGTGGTCCTGGAGTCTGATTCATCCCCATTGGTCTATTCAGCTTTCATAAAGTTCAGTGTCAGTGCTGCAGCAAGGCATACGTACACATTTAATTATACCAGTTCAAATTTAAGAGTTTGGCGAAGAAAAAGACAGGAAGAGGATGGAAAAGGAGAAATAGCCATAGACATAATGTCAGCTCATCCACTCAGTAAGTATGAGATGAGAGATCTGAATCTGGTCTCAAAGCCAGATGGCTTCCCAGAGGCTTCCAACTATTCAAAGTTATATACAATATAACCCCCTAAACACTAGCTGACTACTTCATCTGGGGCTTAACTGACAAACAATGATCTGTTCCAAAGCTGGCCAGAAACTGCACAGGACTTAGAAATAATATACCTATATGTTTATTGTGTGGGCAGTTTAAGGAATTATAAAGAATTACTTAGCTATAAACTAATTCTGCTTAATATGCTGACTTAAGAACCTAACCAAAGGGTAGATGGGATTTTTTGTACTTGATTTCATTCAGCATTCGACAAATATTTTTGAGCTTTACTATATGCCAGGCTGGAAACCCAACAGGGAACAAAAGAAACAAAACTCCCTGCCCTTTTGAAGCTAACATGAAGTGAATGCTATCTAGTGCATAGGAAGAGCAAAGAAGAGAGAAGAGTCAATGATAACCAAGTATAAGTTTTCAAGTCATGAAAGGGAAATGACTTTTTAGGGAAAGGTGAGAAATCTGGACTTTGGCCCATTCTAGTGTGCCAGTTAAAAAAAAAAAGTATGCTTTTAAAAGAGATTCAAAAGACCTCGAATAGCCAGGGGAATATTGAAAAAGAAAACCAGAGTCGGGGATATCACAATGTCAGATTTCAAGCTGTACTACAAAGCTGTGATCATCAAGACAGTGTGGTACTGGTGCAAAAACAGACACATAGATCAGTAGAACAGAATAGAGAACCCAGAAATGGACCCTCAACTCTATGGTCAACTAATATTTGACAAAGCAGGAAAGACTATCCACTGGAAAAAGGACAGTCTCTTCAATAAATGGTGCTGGGAAAATTGGACATCCACATGCAGAAGAATGAAACTAGACCACTCTCTTTCACCATACACAAATATAAACTCAAAATGGATGAAAGATCTAAATGTGAGACAAGATTCCATCAAAATCCTAGAGGAGAACACAGGCAACATCCTTTTTGAACTTGGCCACAGCAACTTCTTGCAAGATATGTCTATGAAGGCAAGGGAAATAAAAGCAAAAAATGAACTATTGGGACTTAATCAAGATAAAAAGCTTCTGCACAGCAAAAGAAACAGTCAACAAAACTAAAAGACAACCTACAGAATATGAGAAGATATTTGCAAGTGACATATCAGATAAAGGCCTAGTATCCAAGATCTATAAAGAACTTTTAAAACTCAACAGCAAAGAAACAGACAATCCAGTCATGAAATGGGCAAAAGACATGAACAGAAATTTCTCCAAAGAAGACCTACACATGGCCAACAAGCACATGAGAAAATGCTCTACATCCCTTGCCATCAGGGATGGCAAATCAAAACCACAACGAGATACCACCTCACACCAGTGAAAAATAACAAGATAGAAAACAACAAACGTTGGAGAGGATGTGAAAAAAGGCAAATCCTCTTGCACTGTTGGTGGGAATGTGAACTGGTGCAGCCACTCTGGAAAACTGTGTGGAGGTTCCTCAAAGAGTTAAAAATAGAGCTACCCTACGACCCAGTAATTGCACTATTGAGGATTTACCCCAAAGATACAGATGCAGTTAAATGGCAGGACATGAGCACCCCAATGTTCATAGCAGCAACGTCCACAATAGCCAAACTGTGGAAGGAGCCTCAGTGTCCACGAAAGATGAATGGATAAAGAAGATGTGGTCTATGTATACAATAGAATATTCCTCAGCCATTAGAAATGACAAATACCCACCATTTGCTTCGATGTGGATGGAACTGGAGGGTATTATGCTGAGTGAAGTAAGTCAATCGGAGAAGGACAAACATATATGGTCTCATTCATATGGGGAATATAAAAAATAGTGAAAGGGATTATAGGGAAAAGAGAGAAAATGAGTGGGAAATATCAGAGAGGGAGACAAAACATGAGACTCCTAACTCTGGGAAACAAACAAGGGGTGGTGGAAAGGGAGGTGGGCATGGGGATGGGGTGACTGGGTGATGGGCACTGAGGGGGGCACTTGACAGGATGAGCACCAGGTGTTATACTATATGTTGGCAAATCGAACTCCAATAAAAAAATATACAAAAATAAATAAATAATAAATAAATAAAAAGAGATTCAGTTGGTTTCTTTGATTACAAATCTAATCCATTGGATTGTTGAGAGAAATAGACAGGACTTATTTTCCTTCAAACACAGTTGGAGGGATGAAAATTAGCTCATCATTTAGTTTCATTGGAACTAAACATAACTTGTCCAAATGTATTTGTTCTTACATCCAGGACATGGGGATGTTGGCAAATGACAGCTGTTATGAATAATTTGACAGTGCTAATATATTAGAACAGTTTCTGGCACATTGTGGGTATTTAATAACTGCTGAACGAATCAATGAGTAAAAGAGTGCAGAATGCAATAATATTGTAGAAACTTTTATCTTGCTGTTCATTGTTTTTCCATGTATAGTGTAGCCAATAATGCCTTGAGACCATTCATGAACATGAATAGAATATGTCTTTTCTATATATAAAATCTCTTTACAAATATAAATGCCTTTGAAAAGTTAAGTTTACTGCTCAAAATGATTCATGATGTGGATATTGATTACATGTGGCACTCGTTTCTTTTTGCCCCTTTTTTTTGCCAGAAAGCAGCAGTGATGAAACACAAGGCCAGTGGGGTGGAGGCCAAAGGCCAAATTCCTGTGCCACTGCCAAGCTTTGCAAGGAAAGAAACAGCTTTTGCCAGTCTACCCCTGCCACCCCACCAACTGAGCCACTGCAGTGCAAATGTGTGCCGTTGGAGAAGAAGGGAGCTTCTGGGTCTGTGTTTGGCCTGGTACAACTTGCACCCTCATGGGGAGAAACAATCCAAATCTCCCTCCCATTGGTGGTAAATAAGATCACCATGTCTGTCATCTCTGCTCATGAAAAATAACCAGTTAGGGAAGTGCAAGTCCAAACCATTCTGCAGAATTTAGTGAGTCACAGTGCCCTGTTAGATGGTAGGAAGGCTGATGCTGCTTAGTACAGGGATTTCCTCCTTTGGGCCTGCATCCAAAATTCAAACAGAACCAAATTCTTTTCTCTGAATGGAAAACAAATTCCTCAGAGTAAGGGTGAGTACATGCTCAGCCCCCGGTAATACTTGATCCACCCCAGCTGTATTCACCCCAACCTATTTTTACTTAACATTTCTTTAAAACAAAAACAAGCTGACAGTGACTACTTTTTTTTTTAAGAGAAGGAGAGAGAGGGAGAAAGGGAAGAGACAGAGAGAATCATCTTAAGCAGGTTCCACACCCAGCACGGAGCCTGATGCTCGGCCCAATGCAGGGCTCTACCTCAGAACCCTGAGGTCCGGAGCTGAGCTGAAATCGAGAGTCCAACGCTTAGCTGACTGAGCCACCCAGCTGCCCCTGACAGTGACTACTTTAATTTACTCCCCTCTGTCTCAGGGAACTTAGTGGTGGCATAGCAAATCCAGTTGTGCCTGAGAGGCAGGATGGTGTAGAGAAGGAGAATCTCTGGGTATAATGTCTCTCTCTGAAAAATGCTGTGTGACTCCCCAGAAAGCCACTTAACTTTTCAGAACCCAAATTTCTTCATTGCTCTAATAGAGATCATAATACTCATTTCCTAGTTGTACTGTAAAGGTCAACTGGGAAGAGTGGTGAAATAGAGGAACTTAGTACACTTAGTAATAAATATTACTGCCTATTGTCTCAGCTTCACTTCTGGATATTGAAAGTCACTAAAACACTAGAATGAGAGCCCCCCTGGGGGAGAACCTCCTCGTGTTAGGGATCTCCCCTTCTGCCATTGCCTCCTAAGGATCAGATACATATTTGTGACAGCTGTACACCTCCTCTGGAAGCCACTTCACAGATCCATATGGACTCACCCAGCCTTGTGCTTCTTCCCATTTTCTCTCTGGTTGCTTGCCAAGGTCCACCAATTGTCCCTGACTTCAGAATCCTTATCACCCTCCTTGAACTGGCTACCCAGACCCATCAAATTTCCCTCCAAAAAAGACTATCTTTCTATCTAGAAAGATAGACTATCTTTCTATCACTGAACTCTGTGTTCTGCCTTTTATCTTCTTTTGTCTGATCTACTGTAATAGCCTCCAAACTGGTCTCCCATCATCCAGATGTTCCTCTTTCTAAAGCATATTCTGCAATGCTGTCAAGGTTCTTTTCAAAAATCCCATTCTCAGGGATCCCTGGGTGGCACAGCGGTTTGGCGCCTGCCTTTGGCCCAGGGCACGATCCTGGAGACCCAGGATCGAATCCCACGTCAGGCTCCGGTGCATGGAGCCTGCTTCTCCCTCCGCCTGTGTCTCTGCCTCTCTCTCTCTGTATGACTATCGTAAATAAATAAATAAATAAATAAATAAATAAATATAAAATAAAACTATATTAAAAAAAATAAAAAAATAAAAGAAATTGTAGGGACGCCTGGGTAGCTCAGTGGTTGAGCGTCTGCCTTTGGCTCAGGTTGTGATCTGGGGGTCCTGGGATTGAGTCCCGCATCGGGCTCTGGGCAGAGAGACTGCTTCTCTCTCTGCCTGTGTTTCTGCCTCTCTTTCTGTGTTTCTAAATGAATAAATAAAATCTTTTTTAAAAAACAAAATAAAATAAAATGAATTGTAATTAAATCATTGTCCCTACGATTTAAACCAAGCATCTAGTTTTAGAACGCGAACAAATAAAACCTCTTTTCTACTCACCATATTAAAATCTGAGTGAATTCCAACAAGCCATTTTCTCCTTCTTTTCCTTTTCCATCTATGCCATTATCTGCCAAATACAATTTCACTAACCAAGGACCAGCTTCAGTCAAATCTTTCATCTTTTTCTTGATTCCTATCAGAAAATAATATTTTATTATTTTTAGACTATAGCTCTCCCATTTGCCACCAGCTAAGTTGATCTTATTTTTTTAAAACTGTACTTATTTGACTGGTGTGAGTAGATGCATTTTGCAGTATAATGAAGGAAATACATACAATTTAAGAACTCCTTTAAAAAAATACTTTATTCTTTACCATAGCAAGCCCCAGATTGCTCTGTATGAAAGGAAATCTCACTTAAGATTTAGACTGTTACCTTTACTTTGGCTAAAGAGGAAAATCAATGTCTTTAGAAATTTCCTGGTAGAAGATAAATGAGCTGCCCACTGATCCTGGGGAAGTGATAGTCCTTATCCAGGGATTCAGCTCTTTAAAAGAACCTGCAAAGCTGTCACATTTTTTGAGCCCTAGAAGAGCAAATTTGAAGGAGAAAGAACCATCTTGCCTTTGTGGACTTCCCGACTGAGGTCAGTGGTCCTGGAGTCTGATTCATCCCCATTGGTCTATTCAGCTTTCATAAAGTTCAGTGTCAGTGCTGCAGCAAGGCATACGTACACATTTAATTATACCAGTTCAAATTTAAGAGTTTGGCGAAGAAAAAGACAGGAAGAGGATGGAAAAGGAGAAATAGCCATAGACATAATGTCAGCTCATCCACTCAGTAAGTATGAGATGAGAGATCTGAATCTGGTCTCAAAGCCAGATGGCTTCCCAGAGGCTTCCAACTATTCAAAGTTATATACAATATAACCCCCTAAACACTAGCTGACTACTTCATCTGGGGCTTAACTGACAAACAATGATCTGTTCCAAAGCTGGCCAGAAACTGCACAGGACTTAGAAATAATATACCTATATGTTTATTGTGTGGGCAGTTTAAGGAATTATAAAGAATTACTTAGCTATAAACTAATTCTGCTTAATATGCTGACTTAAGAACCTAACCAAAGGGTAGATGGGATTTTTTGTACTTGATTTCATTCAGCATTCGACAAATATTTTTGAGCTTTACTATATGCCAGGCTGGAAACCCAACAGGGAACAAAAGAAACAAAACTCCCTGCCCTTTTGAAGCTAACATGAAGTGAATGCTATCTAGTGCATAGGAAGAGCAAAGAAGAGAGAAGAGTCAATGATAACCAAGTATAAGTTTTCAAGTCATGAAAGGGAAATGACTTTTTAGGGAAAGGTGAGAAATCTGGACTTTGGCCCATTCTAGTGTGCCAGTTAAAAAAAAAAAGTATGCTTTTAAAAGAGATTCAAAAGACCTCGAATAGCCAGGGGAATATTGAAAAAGAAAACCAGAGTCGGGGATATCACAATGTCAGATTTCAAGCTGTACTACAAAGCTGTGATCATCAAGACAGTGTGGTACTGGTGCAAAAACAGACACATAGATCAGTAGAACAGAATAGAGAACCCAGAAATGGACCCTCAACTCTATGGTCAACTAATATTTGACAAAGCAGGAAAGACTATCCACTGGAAAAAGGACAGTCTCTTCAATAAATGGTGCTGGGAAAATTGGACATCCACATGCAGAAGAATGAAACTAGACCACTCTCTTTCACCATACACAAATATAAACTCAAAATGGATGAAAGATCTAAATGTGAGACAAGATTCCATCAAAATCCTAGAGGAGAACACAGGCAACATCCTTTTTGAACTTGGCCACAGCAACTTCTTGCAAGATATGTCTATGAAGGCAAGGGAAATAAAAGCAAAAAATGAACTATTGGGACTTAATCAAGATAAAAAGCTTCTGCACAGCAAAAGAAACAGTCAACAAAACTAAAAGACAACCTACAGAATATGAGAAGATATTTGCAAGTGACATATCAGATAAAGGCCTAGTATCCAAGATCTATAAAGAACTTTTAAAACTCAACAGCAAAGAAACAGACAATCCAGTCATGAAATGGGCAAAAGACATGAACAGAAATTTCTCCAAAGAAGACCTACACATGGCCAACAAGCACATGAGAAAATGCTCTACATCCCTTGCCATCAGGGATGGCAAATCAAAACCACAACGAGATACCACCTCACACCAGTGAAAAATAACAAGATAGAAAACAACAAACGTTGGAGAGGATGTGAAAAAAGGCAAATCCTCTTGCACTGTTGGTGGGAATGTGAACTGGTGCAGCCACTCTGGAAAACTGTGTGGAGGTTCCTCAAAGAGTTAAAAATAGAGCTACCCTACGACCCAGTAATTGCACTATTGAGGATTTACCCCAAAGATACAGATGCAGTTAAATGGCAGGACATGAGCACCCCAATGTTCATAGCAGCAACGTCCACAATAGCCAAACTGTGGAAGGAGCCTCAGTGTCCACGAAAGATGAATGGATAAAGAAGATGTGGTCTATGTATACAATAGAATATTCCTCAGCCATTAGAAATGACAAATACCCACCATTTGCTTCGATGTGGATGGAACTGGAGGGTATTATGCTGAGTGAAGTAAGTCAATCGGAGAAGGACAAACATATATGGTCTCATTCATATGGGGAATATAAAAAATAGTGAAAGGGATTATAGGGAAAAGAGAGAAAATGAGTGGGAAATATCAGAGAGGGAGACAAAACATGAGACTCCTAACTCTGGGAAACAAACAAGGGGTGGTGGAAAGGGAGGTGGGCATGGGGATGGGGTGACTGGGTGATGGGCACTGAGGGGGGCACTTGACAGGATGAGCACCAGGTGTTATACTATATGTTGGCAAATCGAACTCCAATAAAAAAATATACAAAAATAAATAAATAATAAATAAATAAAAAGAGATTCAGTTGGTTTCTTTGATTACAAATCTAATCCATTGGATTGTTGAGAGAAATAGACAGGACTTATTTTCCTTCAAACACAGTTGGAGGGATGAAAATTAGCTCATCATTTAGTTTCATTGGAACTAAACATAACTTGTCCAAATGTATTTGTTCTTACATCCAGGACATGGGGATGTTGGCAAATGACAGCTGTTATGAATAATTTGACAGTGCTAATATATTAGAACAGTTTCTGGCACATTGTGGGTATTTAATAACTGCTGAACGAATCAATGAGTAAAAGAGTGCAGAATGCAATAATATTGTAGAAACTTTTATCTTGCTGTTCATTGTTTTTCCATGTATAGTGTAGCCAATAATGCCTTGAGACCATTCATGAACATGAATAGAATATGTCTTTTCTATATATAAAATCTCTTTACAAATATAAATGCCTTTGAAAAGTTAAGTTTACTGCTCAAAATGATTCATGATGTGGATATTGATTACATGTGGCACTCGTTTCTTTTTGCCCCTTTTTTTTGCCAGAAAGCAGCAGTGATGAAACACAAGGCCAGTGGGGTGGAGGCCAAAGGCCAAATTCCTGTGCCACTGCCAAGCTTTGCAAGGAAAGAAACAGCTTTTGCCAGTCTACCCCTGCCACCCCACCAACTGAGCCACTGCAGTGCAAATGTGTGCCGTTGGAGAAGAAGGGAGCTTCTGGGTCTGTGTTTGGCCTGGTACAACTTGCACCCTCATGGGGAGAAACAATCCAAATCTCCCTCCCATTGGTGGTAAATAAGATCACCATGTCTGTCATCTCTGCTCATGAAAAATAACCAGTTAGGGAAGTGCAAGTCCAAACCATTCTGCAGAATTTAGTGAGTCACAGTGCCCTGTTAGATGGTAGGAAGGCTGATGCTGCTTAGTACAGGGATTTCCTCCTTTGGGCCTGCATCCAAAATTCAAACAGAACCAAATTCTTTTCTCTGAATGGAAAACAAATTCCTCAGAGTAAGGGTGAGTACATGCTCAGCCCCCGGTAATACTTGATCCACCCCAGCTGTATTCACCCCAACCTATTTTTACTTAACATTTCTTTAAAACAAAAACAAGCTGACAGTGACTACTTTTTTTTTTAAGAGAAGGAGAGAGAGGGAGAAAGGGAAGAGACAGAGAGAATCATCTTAAGCAGGTTCCACACCCAGCACGGAGCCTGATGCTCGGCCCAATGCAGGGCTCTACCTCAGAACCCTGAGGTCCGGAGCTGAGCTGAAATCGAGAGTCCAACGCTTAGCTGACTGAGCCACCCAGCTGCCCCTGACAGTGACTACTTTAATTTACTCCCCTCTGTCTCAGGGAACTTAGTGGTGGCATAGCAAATCCAGTTGTGCCTGAGAGGCAGGATGGTGTAGAGAAGGAGAATCTCTGGGTATAATGTCTCTCTCTGAAAAATGCTGTGTGACTCCCCAGAAAGCCACTTAACTTTTCAGAACCCAAATTTCTTCATTGCTCTAATAGAGATCATAATACTCATTTCCTAGTTGTACTGTAAAGGTCAACTGGGAAGAGTGGTGAAATAGAGGAACTTAGTACACTTAGTAATAAATATTACTGCCTATTGTCTCAGCTTCACTTCTGGATATTGAAAGTCACTAAAACACTAGAATGAGAGCCCCCCTGGGGGAGAACCTCCTCGTGTTAGGGATCTCCCCTTCTGCCATTGCCTCCTAAGGATCAGATACATATTTGTGACAGCTGTACACCTCCTCTGGAAGCCACTTCACAGATCCATATGGACTCACCCAGCCTTGTGCTTCTTCCCATTTTCTCTCTGGTTGCTTGCCAAGGTCCACCAATTGTCCCTGACTTCAGAATCCTTATCACCCTCCTTGAACTGGCTACCCAGACCCATCAAATTTCCCTCCAAAAAAGACTATCTTTCTATCTAGAAAGATAGACTATCTTTCTATCACTGAACTCTGTGTTCTGCCTTTTATCTTCTTTTGTCTGATCTACTGTAATAGCCTCCAAACTGGTCTCCCATCATCCAGATGTTCCTCTTTCTAAAGCATATTCTGCAATGCTGTCAAGGTTCTTTTCAAAAATCCCATTCTCAGGGATCCCTGGGTGGCACAGCGGTTTGGCGCCTGCCTTTGACCCAGGGCGCGATCCTGGAGACCCAGGATCGAATCCCACGTCAGGCTCCGGGTGCATGGAGCCTGATTCTCCCTCTGCCTGT